TTCGCCGTCGTCATGGTTTCTCAGTCGTTGAAGAAGAACTACAGATGCTCTCGATCTCTTAAGCAGTTCTACAGCGGTGGCCCTTTCATCGTTTCATCCGATGGTTCTTTCATCGCCTGCGCCTGTGGTGACGCCATTAACATCGTCGATTCTTCGGACTCATCGGTGAAATCCACCATTGAAGCCGAGTCGGATACGCTCACTGCTTTGGCTCTTAGTCCTGACAATAAGCTACTCTTCTCCGCTGGGCATAGTAGACAAATTCGAATTTGGGATTTGGAAACCTTGAAATGCATTCGCTCTTGGAAGGTAAACTATTGTACTAGCCCTGACTCGTTCGGGTTATTGAAGATTCATTCATACAAATCCAAAATTATCTAGAAAGGAGCTTGTTTCTCTGGATTAAGTGTGCTTTGGCTAATTCGATTTCCAAATTTGTTGACCTTTTGATGTTTCAGGGACACGATGGACCTGTGATGGGCATGGTTTGCCACGCATCTGGAGGATTGCTAGCTACTGCTGGAGCTGATAGGAAAGTCCTTGTTTGGGATGTTGATGGTGGTTTCTGCACTCATTACTTCAAAGGTCATAAAGGGGTTGTGTCAAGTATTTTGTTCCATCCTGATGCAAACAAAAACATCGTATGTTCCAAATTCTGTCTCTGAGTCAAACGTTCTGGGAGTTAGATTTTATGTTGTAAAGAGATATGTTATCCTTGTAAAGCTATATTTCTTCTCTGTTTGATGGCAAGATTTGTGTGTATTAATGTTTGGGGTGTAGCTTTTCTCTGGAAGTGATGATGCAACCGTTCGTGTCTGGGATCTTATGGCAAAGAATACTGAGAAGAAATGTCTTGCCATTTTGGAAAAGCATTTTTCAGCTGTGACTTCAATTGCTCTATCAGAGGATGGATGGACTTTACTCAGCGCTGGAAGAGATAAGGTGAGTTCTTACTGCTCTCTAGTTTAATTGAGTTATATTCAAGAGTAGGATTGTTTTCTGTTGATCTTTTGTTAAATGGTATGCGGCGTTTAAGTACTGTCTTTATTCTAAAGTTGAAATGATCAGTGGTGTCAATTTATTGGTTAATCACAGGTTGTGAACGTGTGGGACCTTCATGATTATAGCTGCAAGACTACAGTTGCAACGTATGAGGTACTAGAAGCTGTGACAACAGTTTCTACTGGGACGCCTTTTGCTTCATTTGTAGCTTCTCTTGATCAGAAGAGTAAGAAGAAGAAAACGGCTTCTCAAGAAACACATTTTATTACTCTTGGGGAACGTGGGGTAGTGCGCATCTGGAAGTCGGAAGGGTGAGCCATTATATCCTTTAATAGTTATTGTTGCGTTGATTAATGTTTGGTCTGAAGTCATATAAACCATCCTAGCTTAAGAAATGATTGAAACCTAGCTGTTTACTTTGGCAGTTCAGTTTGCCTCTACGAGCAAAAGTCGTCGGATATTACTGTCAGCTCGGATGACGAGGATTCTAAAAGAGGATTCACTGCAGCTGTTATGCTGCCTTCTGATCGTGGACTGCTTTGTGTGACTGCTGATCAGCAGTTTTTTATCTACTCCGTTCTGGAAAATGTAGAAGAATCAGAGTTAGTTCTAAGCACGAGGCTTGTTGGATATAATGAAGAAATTTCTGATATGAAGTTCCTAGGTGATGAAGAACAGTTTCTAGCAGTAGCTACAAATCTTGAGGAGGTAACTGAGCATTTTGCAGTCTTTATCATGCAGACTTGATCTCTCTTGTGAGTATGATCAGGTCTAAGATTTTATAGTTTCTTGGACTAAGATTTGCAAATATATCTGCAGGTTCGTGTTTTTGATGTTGCAACAATGTCATGTTCCTACGTGTTAGCTGGCCACAAGGAAGTTATTCTGTCCCTTGACACTTGCGTATCTAGTTCTGGGAATGTTCTTATCGTGACTGGAAGTAAAGACAAAACTGTATGTCCATTTACTTACCTTGTAGTTTTTCATAAACTGTGTTCCTCTTTAGCCTTTTTCGTTGAGTTAGCTGGCAATGCACTGACAAAAGCTAGACAGTGTCTCAGATTTTTCAGGGTTGTTTGTAGCTTATGTCATTTCTGTTTTTCATGCACATCATTCCCCACAATATAAACTACAAAAACACTTCTTCTGTTATAGTAACCTGTGAAGTTTGTTAACTTATGTTTTGTTACTTTACAGGTAAGGCTATGGAACGCAACAAGCAAATCTTGCATTGGAGTTGGTACAGGTCATAATGGTGATATCTTAGCAGTTGCGTTTGCGAAGAAGTCCTTCAGTTTCTTTGTCAGTGGCAGTGGGTACGTGCTACATAAATGATTTCATTTACTTTTTATTTTATTATAAGTGAAGCATGGTACTGCCAGCCTAAAGATTCTGTTGGTAGTTGTTCCCAGAGATGATGGTTCTAGTTAATGCATATGTATTGTTTTCTAACAATGAGGAAATTTTGATTAGGACTCTGCTTTTTTCTTTACACTGCCTCCCAACTGGGGATATGAGAAATGAATTTTTCGATTGAAATATGCTGGCTGTTTACTGTCAGGCCTTATGTTAGAGAAGAAAATGTATTGTCTGATTAAAAGTATAGACTGTATGATTGAGATAGTTCATCTCTGTTATTCATTTCTCAGTGTAATACTCTGGCTGATGGTACCAAATCTGTCTATGTAAATGCATGCATCATATAGAAGGTGTAGAACCCTGTCTTGATTGTGAATATTATAGACATATATGGTCTATTGTTATTATCTCCTTCCAAGTTTGTCTCCTTAATTCTTTATCATCTTTCTTTTCATATATCTTTTTAATCTCTTAATTTGCATTCCATTGGATTAGTGATCGTACATTGAAGGTCTGGAACCTTGATGGTATATCAGAGGACTCAGAGGAGCCCATTAATCTGAAAACTAGAAGTGTTGTCGCTGCCCATGATAAAGACATCAATTCTGTGGCTGTTGCTCGTAATGATAGCTTGGTTTGCACTGGCTCTGAGGTAATTAGATATGATGAGCAAACCTTTTCTGATTAATTTTATGGTTTTCTCATTCAATTGTCCATTTTTGAAATACTGATAAATTGAGAACTTGTTATCTTTCTCTCCTATTGAAAGAAGATGCATTTGCTCTGATGAAGACATGCTCCATGTTCTTATCTGACTGTATTTGTTTCTGTCTTTTCAGGATCGGACAGCTAGCATATGGAGACTACCAGACTTAGTGCATGTTGTTACACTTAAAGGACACAAGAGGCGGATTTTTTCTGTTGAGTTTTCACCTGTCGATCAGTGCGTAATGACAGCATCAGGTGATAAAACAGTAAAAATATGGGCTATATCTGATGGTTCATGCCTCAAANCATTCGAAGGTCATACCTCAAGTGTACTTAGAGCCTCATTCATAACTGATGGAACCCAGTTTGTCTCATGTGGTAAGTTTCACTAAACTGATGTCATATTTTCTTCTTCTTTTTTAGTCTTAACATTCTAACCATGCACTTATAGGTGCTGATGGTTTATTGAAACTTTGGAATGTGAACACTAGCGAATGCATAGCCACATATGACCAGCACGAGGACAAGGTGCCCTAAACAGTACTTTCTTTCTTGATGTATCCATATCTTGGTCTACCTCTGATGCTATTAGCTTTAGGGTTATGAACTGCTGTACCTGTATTTGTAAAGTGTTTATTTCTAGTGTTTTGATGGAACTTGTTCATAGCCATCACTCGCAGAGACCTCTTGCTATTCTGTTGAGTCAACTCATTCTTTAAATTTTACAGGTATGGGCTTTAGCTGTCGGAAAGAAGACAGAAATGGTTGCAACTGGTGGAGGCGATGCAGTTATTAATTTATGGCATGATTCAACCGCTTCTGATAAAGAAGACGAATTCCGGAAAGAGGTCTGTCAATTTCACTTGTCCACTAAGTTTTAATGGGTTTCCATGGAGCTGTTATGTGTGCTTGATCTTTAGTCCGACCATCATCCTGAACTACTTCCGTTGTACAGGAAGAAGCAATCTTGAGAGGTCAAGAGCTAGAAAACGCAGTGCTAGATGCTGAATACAGTAAAGCCATAAAATTAGCATTTGAGCTTCGTAAGCCTCACAGAGTTTACGAACTCTTTGCTGGTCTCTGCAGGTAAAAGCCATCCAAGAAAACACAGCGTTTGCTTTTCTCGATATTCCCTTCTGAAGTCTCTTCCTTTTCTTACCTGCAAATTGGTGTGAACAGGAAAAGAGAATCAGACGAACAGATTGTGAAAGCTCTTCAAGGACTTGAAAAAGAAGACTTCCGTTTGCTTTTCGAATATGTCCGAGAATGGAACACAAAACCAAAGCTGTGTCACATTGCTCAGTTTGTTCTTTACCAAACCTTCAACGTACTTCCCCCTACAGAAATTGTTCAGGTTTGGTTCTTATAAAATTCATGATCAATACCGATATATATATATATTCTCGATTTCTTTTGGCTTGATCTTGGAAATTTTGGACAGGTAAAAGGAATTGGAGAACTCCTGGAAGGGTTAATCCCATATTCTCAGAGACATTTCAGTAGGATCGACAGATTTGTGAGAAGCAGTTTCTTGTTAGACTACATACTTGGTGAGATGTCTGTGATTGATCCAGAGACAGAGACAGAGTATCCTAAGGAGAAGAAAGAAGAAAAGGTTATTGCTTCTGTGTCTGAAATGGAACAAGATACAGAAGAGCCAAACCAGGATACACATTCGAGGAAACGAAAGTCTAAGAAATCGAAAGATAAATCGAAGAAGAAGAGACTCATTGCCGAAACTCAGGGAACTGTAATCGCAGTTTGAGCCTCAATCGCAGAGGCGTGAATGCTGCTGCTGCATCAGTCCAAAAGTGGTATGAATTATAATTTCGATGAAATTTGAGGGGTGGAATCCCAATTTTTGGTATTTTAGTTTTCTTTTTGTGTAATTGGCTCTTGTAAGTGCTGATGTTTTAAATTCTTGTTTTTCAACATTCTCCAGCCTTCGAGGCTTCGACTTTTGAAGAGTTAATGTTTTCTCAAAATTCATTTCTCAGATTCATGAGTTAATACAAGCTCAATTTATTTATAATATATGATTTTTAGTAACAAAATAGTTCATATGTAGGAAGTTATTCATTTGTTAAAAACCATGTGTCAAATACTATTATATATTCTTATTTTTGTGTTTACAGTTTTGAAACGAACGAAAAATGTGGACAAATTTTTTTTTTTTGATTTTAATGTGGACAAAATTGCAAACTAAAAGATTGTATGTCGGTATATGCATTTTATTTGCATGTCATGTCCATATGGAAATTAGGTAACTAACCAAAATGTATGGAAACCCACCTACTGTTTTTCATAGGAATCCCAAAGCTTTTGGTTATTTTCCCAATTTCCCTATAATTTTTTTGGTTATCTAGCTAATTAACTCTATTTTTTTTTTTTTTGTGTGGTTACACAACCTTATATGGAAACCCACCTTTTTTTTTTTGTGTGGTTACACAACCTTATATGTCATCAATCTGTAAGTTACATCTGGTTTTGATATTCGGGTTGTACGTTTTAAATCGTTAAAAACATATGGATTCTGTTTAAACTTTATTTGTTTTCAGTGGTGGCCACTGGCCGGTGGGTGCAAAAGGTTTAAACCGGATTTCAAAATAAGTGTAGTTTACGGTCGAGTTTCCAAACAATATTAATTCTTTTTTGGAGTTTTAACTTTTTTTCTTTCAACTAAAATAAGAATTACAAATTATAGAATGGTATGACTGTGTAGCGTTATAAAATATACGAAAAAGTAGTTTTTTGCAGCAAAATAATATTTTTTAATCCCTCAAACGAAATACACTACAAAATAGTTAGTTAAAAGTATGTGTATTTCAAAATATTCAAGGCATAAACTAATTAACCATTACCCTAGCTAGATGAATAAGAAAATTTATTCTCCTAGTTGACAAAAGAAAAACTATTCACCTTTTCTAGATTCTCTAGTGTTTTTCTGTTTCACGTCAGCGTATGAATAGTCATGCGAACAAGCATTATTAGTTACGTAAAATCGACCAAATTATTATATTGTTTCTTCGTAGAATTAGAATCTGTGTAATACACGTCATGAAACATATATCTTATGATTCACGAGGATTTTCACTCTCCTCATTATTCGATTTTACCACTTCATTTTGTTTCTCATCTCTAGCTGTAAGCAAACTTACAAACATCAGTAAGTTTTATGGATGTCACTCAATTTATAACACTTGGGAGTTGGGTATGTCAGAAAATATTCATCACAATTCAGTTCACAAGTATGTCGGTGAACTCATCATATATAGTGGAGTGAAAATATGTGAAACCGTTATGTTCATTTATATGTATTAATTTTGTATAAGTTTAACACTGATCTGGTATTCATAACAGAAATCTCTGCGGCCGGCAACTCGACATAAACTACACGTATTTTATTATGTTAGGTTAATATTTTTTCAACAGTATCACATTTTTTTTATATAAAAATAGATATGGTACAAATTAATGCACAAAGAGCATAATATATTGTGTATTTTATAATGTTAAATTGATTCTCTGATTAGTCACC